TTTACCTTGGTTGCTACCCATACTTTGCTACTTGAAGGTGTTGTGCGAGGGTGAATAAATAATTACCTTGTATTTCATCTAGGTGGTGGCACATAATCTACTTGGTGCAACTACCACCTCTGTTCACCACCTTCAGTGGTCACGAATGTTTCCGTGTCATCACAGATATTTCCTCCTTCAAGGGGAAGCCCCTGTGACCCTACTAACTTCCCAAAAATGTCCTGTTACATGTAGGTTCAATTCTCTACACAACTGCAGAAACCTCTCATATTCTTGTTTGGGTAATCTGTAGATCCAGTGGGATGTGATATGCTGAAATCTTTTTGGGTAGAGTATCCTGACTTCGAGAGAGAGCGACCTTGCCCTTAGGGCTATGGTGTATGTCTGTGCACTGTTTTGTTGAGAATATTCCCTCAGCTCTTGCTTGAGTGCCGTAGCTGTTAGTTCCTGTTGGACGTCGTATATGTATTTCCCAAGTTTTCTGTAAGCATTCATTCGTTGTCCGCTAGAGTTGTTCAGATTTGTTGCTATAGATAACAATCCAGTTGCGTCATGACCTGGTATAGCTTCTTTTAGGTCATATTCTTCCTCCGCAGCGGTCACGGCATCCATGACATACGGCAGCAAGGAATCGTCCTCTCGCATTATTCTCGTACTGATCGTGAGTTCTGCCAGGTTGACCGTCTTGCCTTCGGCTATCAGGTGTATTCCCATTTTATTCAGGACTGCTTGTGCTTTTCTCGAAATTGATAATAATTCTCTATGAATTTGATTAATTCTTTTGTAGAATCCTTCGGTCACTTGCATATTTGTTCTTGTTATCTCTGTTAGGTATGATAAAAGTTGGTTCACACTTTCTTGAGTCACTATGTCTTTTTAAGGTTCAAGTATTACCCCTCCTGTCACCCCACGTGATACAAGATCCCTTTGTTTGTAGGACTTTGAGCTGTTTCCGTTAAAGATACTTGCCATAATTATTTTCAAAAGTTGCAATTAGTTGCAACTCAATACCTAGTTGCAATTATTTTCCATAATGCCGTAATTCTGCCGTAATGTCGTAATTCGGGCGTAATGCCGTAATTCTGCCGTAATGCCGTAATTATGCCGTAATGTCATAATTCTGCCGTAATTATATAAAATTGAAAATAATTGTCGATAGTTGTTACAATATAAAACTTTTATTTAAATAAGTAAATATCAAAAATGGTACTAAGTAATCTTAAAGACAAGAATGA